TTTTTTAAATCTCAAATTGAAACAAAAAGATGAACAAAGAGAAGAACTGCAAGCTCCAAATGAAACTTTTGTTGTTTTTTTTCAGAGATCTATGGTATAAGTTGACACTCACCCAAAAATGCCATCCAATCAGTGCACTCCATTATTTCTAGAGTGGTAGAAGATAATTTAGGAAGGTTAGCAATGGAGCGATAGCACAGTGAGTAGGGCGTTCGCCTTACAAGCGGCCAACATGGCCGACCCGAGTTCGATTCTTCCTCCCCTCTCGGAGAGCCCGGCAAGCTACCGAGAGTATTCGATATGCCAAACACAGTAACAACAAAGTCTCCAATGGAGACGTTACTGGGCCTGCTCGAGAAGATCGACGATCAACGGGAGGGCCTTTACCTTTACCATTTTTAGCAATGGAAAACCCTGAGGAGCTCAGGTATCATATGAGACGTTGGGGAACCAGAACCGGCACAGTATCCACACTGACTGAACTAGAACCTCACTTGCAAAGCCATCAGCTCCTTAGACTTCAAGATGAAGAAAGATCCAATTAAATTTCAATTCAGTTCATCCATCCAGGACCACAAGACACGGTGAGCATGACACAGGTTACTGCTAGCATTTTGCTTTGGTTTTCAAAATCTCCTTAACTTGCCTTAGAGATTGTGTTCTTTGGAAACACATATAAATACACTGTGTATATAGCTTAAATTATTCTTTTATTTTATTCTTAAAATAGAACCAAAGAGACCATTAGGCACTGCTGGCATGGCTGTGGTAGAGGTTGGTACCACAAGGAAGGCCTGATGCTTCATCCTTGGGCCCTCATACTGAACCACCAGTACAGATGACCCCTAAAACAAACAACAGCACCATATATAGTTTTTACTTTTCAGAATGCTAAGTAATTAATTGGGTCAAATGAATTTTCTGTTTCTGCTGTGAGAGTTATAGTACTATGTTTGCAAGAATGTTAGTAAAATAGTGTTCTCTTGCTAATAATCCAAATGTTGGTCAGGTCAGCATGATAGTATAGCCAGGAGGGCGTTTGTCTTGCACGTGGCCAACCCCGGTTCAATTCCTGACATCCCATATGGTCCCTCAAGCACTGCCAGGTATGATTCCTGAGTGCAGAGCTAGTAGTCACCTTTGAGCTTCGTGACCCCAAAAGCCCAAAGAATTAAAAATAAAAAAGAAATAAAGTTTAAGGTCCCTGAACCCTGAATCTCTCCCTTGTAAAATAATCCCTTCTCACAAGTCTGTGGAAATTGTCAAACGCAACAGCAGATGGGAAGATATTTAGAAAAGCCAAGGGTAATTAATATACAGGAATGAATGTTATGATGCTTATTACTACTAATTTTTATTATTAGTCTTATTTTCTCCATGTGCTTCAACTATTTAACTAGTATTTGTTCAAAGAAGATATTGATACCCTGTGTATTAGGATGTGGTTACCTCCTTTCTCACTTTCTCAGAAAAACAACTACATTTAAAATTAAAGAGAACTTAAAGGTTTTCCAAAATATTTCACTCAAATAGATCATCACAGGCCTTCAATGTCATTAAATTTGACCTTTCTCTAGTTTCTTTGTTTTTGTTTTTGGGCCTCCCCCAGTGATGATGGTCAAGGCTTACTCCTGATTCTGTGCTCTGGGAGTATTTGGAGATGCTTAGGAGACGCTATGCCGTGGCACAATCAAACTTGGGTGTGCTGCCTGCAAGGTATGTGCCTTCGCCCTGTACTATCCTCCAGCTCCTTCTGTTTGTAAGTATTTTGAATTTTGGACGGAGCTTCATGATATGGAAGCTTAACTTAGAACAATAAATATACAATTATCAAAAGTGCTTAAAATATGTGATGTCCTTCTTTATAAAGTACAGTTGAATTAAGCACACTCTTCCTAGGATTACCATAAACTAGGCAGGATAAGAAAACGAAGTTAAACCAAAGCCTCATGTGAAGGGAAAGAAGAAGGCATACTAATCCCTTATGTGTAAAAGATAGGTGTAGCATCAGATTAAATACTGAAATAGTAACACTTTATTCTGGTCTCTGGGCTTCTCTAAGAAATCTAATCTCCCTGGTAGAAAGGAGGCTTTCCAAGAGTCAGTGCTGAAGAAAAACTTTCTTGTTCCAAAGTAAACATCCACAGGGAATGTTAAAGCTGAACAAGTCAAGCCATTTTCAACAATACAGAGAGTTGCATGATGGTCTGATTAAATTTGTCATTCTTACGTGAGTCCCATCAGATAGTTACCCTTGAATAGGTACAAGGTAAAATGAGGTCATTCTTGAAAGTTTGCTTTGGAAAGAAAATCACTATTTAAATATGAACTATTGTAGGTTTTTCAAAAGGTGTCCATGTATATTGAGTCTTAATGAGTAGGACATATAAAAGAAACAATCTATACACTATTTCCCAAAATCAATCACTGTGATTGTAGAAATTAGAATATATTAAATACACAAAATAGAGCTTACTATTTTTTTTTTTACAAAGAAACACCTAATGATTTATTTTTTTATTTTTGCTTTTTGGGTCACACCTGGCGATGCACAGGGATTACTCCTGGCTCTGCACTCGAAAGTTACTCCTGGCAGTTATCAGGGGACCATATGGGATGCTGGGAATCAAACCCAGGATGGCCGCGTGCAAGGCAAAAGCCCTACCCGCTGTGTTATGTCTCCAGCCCCTGAGCTTACTAATTTTGCTTAAATCAATCCCTGCCTACATCTAAAGCAATCTTGTTTCACTTTGTTTTAGGATTCAGTAAATGACCTGAAACTTCATCTATTCAACGTTGTTTATTATTATCTATTGGGCAGTCACCTTGCTATTCTGCTCTCTTTATATGATCTGCAGATCAGAAACCTCTCTTAAATCTATCTTCATAGATGGTGTCCATCTTTCCTGCTTTTTATTGTGGATGGCTATACTTTGTACCTATATTAAGTAAGTAAGTAAAGGCCCTCCCGTTGATCGTTGATTTGCTCGAGCGGGCCCAGTAACGTCTCCATTGGAGACTTTGTTGTTACTGTGTCTGGCATATCGAATACTCTCGGTAGCTTGCCGGGCTCTCCGAGAGGGGTGGAGGAATCGAACTTGGGTCGGCCATGTTGGCTGCGTGCAAGGCAGACGCCCTACCCGCTGTGCTATCGCTCCAGCCCGGATTGGAGGCCCCAGTGAGTACCTATATTAAAACCTGAATAAAAGTAGTATAATGATCTACCTGAAAAGTAGATCATTAACCATTCATTGACAAACATATTACCCCTCTAGCTCCAAATTTATATCCCCCTCTCTCAAATTTTTTCCTCAGAGTACTTTGTCTGTTCTACTTTTCTAAAGATAGTCCCTATACTTGGCTGGAGTAATAGCACTGCGGGTAGGGCGTTTGCCTTGCAAACAGCCAACCCAGGTTCGATTCCTCCGCCCCTCTTGGTGAGTCCGCAAGCTACCGAGAGTGGCAAGCTGCCTGTGACGTATTCAATATGCCATTAACAGTAACAAGTCTTACAATTTGTTGTGAGACGTTACTGGTGCTCGCTCGAACAAATTGATGAACAACGGGAGGACAGTGCTACAGTACTACCGTCCCTATACTTGATCATATGACCATTTTTGTTATCAAGCTCCATATTTATTAGTCCCTTCTCTCCGCATAAATATCCTGAATTTAAAAAAAAACTTTCCCTTGAATCCAATTTTCTTTCAGGCAGCTTTGGTTCTCTCTCCTCCTTTATCATTCAAGCCCTCTGAACAGTGTCTGTACTTGCTAATATATTGATTTTTATTTTATTCCTCCACCCGCCGGGCTTTTAATTTTATTACCCATAATCTGCCACTATGTTGTCCATTCTCCTGAGTTTCTTATGCTGATGTCACCATTAAATTGCCTTTGGAATTTTCTGATCTTTCCTTTTCCACTAGCTATCCAACCCCTCCCCCACCTACTCCTTACACACCAGCCTCTATAATATTTAACTTTTTTTCTGTTTCTGTGAATTTCAACATGGCCTAATGCTCTGTAGTCACTTTACTACATAATCATTCACCACAGAATAATCATGATGCAATAAAAATAAGAATATGATGATGCTAAATATCAGCAAAAAACTTCTGTTATTGTCAGGTCCCATTATTCTCTCTCTCCTCTCACATTTCCTCACACCAGCTAGAAAATCTTTCTGCCCTCTTAATGATCAGTTTAATTTCATTTTATTATTATAATTCCTATTATTTTAGTTTTGGGGATGCAGTGGGGTTACTCCTGGCTCTACACTTGGGAATCTCTACTGGTGGTGCTTGTGAAACAATATGGGATGCTGGAGATGGAACTCTGGTCAGCCATATACAAGGCAAGTGCCCTACCCATTGTATCATCTCTCCGGCCCCTCAGTTTTAATTTTAGCAACTATTTTCTAAGCTGTGCCATTCCCCAAACATTTTAAGTATAATATTTTCTGTTTTTACCTCTAGCATTTTATATTTAAAAAATGATTTTAGTCAAAGTTCACAGAGATCTCCCCAATGATTTGGCAAAACAGTGCTAATATCTGTATAGCACATCAATTACAATGTATTCGAAACATTGCATACTCCCATCTATACTCTAAACACTACACCCTAATCTCACAGGGACTTGAAAACAGATTTTAATGTTTTTCAAAATATTAGAAACAAAAAGCCCCCCAAAATAATTTAATATTTAAATATAAATGCTTTCATTAAAATTATATTCTCACTTTCCCTATGCATTTTTATCTGAATGTAATATATTACATATATATATATAATTCATCCAAATCATTAACCAGCTTCTTATCAAGCATGATAATGCACTCCGTAATCTACAATTCATCTTCAGTTTTGCAATTTTTACACACATTCCTTCTAAATTAGAGGTAAATAGAACACTAAGACAAATCACTGGTCAACCCATAGAAACCCAAACTTGACTTTCTCTAAGCACTCTCAATTATCTTTGTGCATCATTATACTTACATATCACTAGCAATGGAGGAGTTTCGGGACATAGACTTTGGAGAGAGGTCATAATCGCTGTCAGACCGATAGAGAAAGGACTCTCGACGTTGACTATGAACAAAGTTTGCTTGAAGAATTAGCCCAGATCCTGGGCTGGTCATGGGATCCAAGGGACTCCGTCCCGAAGATGTGCCATTGTCCACATCGAAACTAGAAAGGAAAGAAGGGAAATGACACTGCTGAGAGTACTTACATTTTGATATTATAATAAAGAGAAATCTCAGTTTAGGAGTTGATAGTGGGAAATTGTGCACCTGAATTCTGATGTCAAAAATGATAATATTAAAATACACAAATGCAAAAAAAAAAATAACCCCACACCCAACCCTACACACCATACACAGTGACTACATATATTTTTGTCTTCCTAAGGTTTTGATAACACAAAAAAACTTATCAAAAAGAATATAAATCTCTATAACTCAACTTCAATTAACAAGAAATTATTCTAAAAACAATAGTTCAAGTACAGAGTTTATTTTTGAGGGAAGAAAAAGAGGAAGAGAAAAAGAAGGAAGGAAGGAAGGAAGGAAGGAAGGAAGGAAGGAAGGAAGGGAGGGAGGGAGGAAGGGAGGAAGGGAGTTTAGAGGGAGGGAGGAGGGAAATTTACAATCCATAACATGCTTCATATATGTCCATAACATGACCATAGCGTACTTCACACAACTGGAATTCTCTCCTTCCTATCTAGACCTATTCAGCCATGGATTTCTATTGTATTCACTTTCATCCATCCCTATTGTCAATATATTAAGTTCGTGATTCTATTAAGATTCACCTACTTTAGAACAACCTATAAATTAAGTTCTTTTTTGTTGTTTTGTTTTTGGCCACACCTGAGGAATAACCTGCTCAGGGGTTATTCCTGGATCTGCACTCAGGGATTACTCCTGGAGGTCCTTGAGAGACCATATGGGATGCCAGGAATTTAATCCAGGTGGGCCTGGAATTTAATCCAGAATTTAATCTATGCAAGGCAGATGCCCTGTCTGCTGTAGTATGTCTAGGCCCTAAGTTACATTAGTACATCTATTTGTCAACCCTTACTGAGTGAATCTTCTTAAAATGCAATGTATAACATTTGTAACTCTTTCACTGTCCTCAGCATAAGTCTGATTTTCTCATTTATACAAATAGTCTTTTTTTGGGGGGGGGCACACCCAACAGTACTCAGGGCTTACACCTGGCTCTGTGTTCTGGGATTACTCCTGGAGGGATTTGAGGGTCTACATATGGTACTGGGGATCAAATCCAGTTGGCTACATGCAAGGGAAGTGTCTTACCTGCTGTATTCTTTGGCTCACTAATACTTTTAACAATCTAATCTCAATTATAGTAAACTGCTTTCCCTTCCTCAGTGTGATGTGCTTATCCATCTACATCACCAAATACCCATCTCCTTGTCTTAGGCTTTCAATCATTTTATGCTCCCCTAATTACTCAATCTTCCATTTTCATCCTTGAGGATTTAGTTTTTGCTGAAAAAGTCAGTCTTGGTACATCAGTTATTTTAGGAGAGCTCTTTCTTCACAATCTTTTAACATTTTCTTCATTCCCAGACATTACAAAAGGTCGAAAAGGCCTTCCATTTCTAGACTTTTAGACTCTGAGATTTCCAAGAATGAAGTCTAAATTCTTAACATCCTTAACATCACAGTTTTTACCATCGTGATAAATGAATCACAAGTTTTTCTAGACAAAGGCCAACAAGTACGACAATAAAGTCAATTTTTATGTTCTTATGGAAGGATGATAGTGCAAGACAGTTCCGCACATATTTGGTTAAGAAAGAACCTTGAATAAATAAACACATGAATTAAGGTTATTTTCAATGCTTTCCCCTTAGAATATTTAAGCAAACTACTAACCAGATAATAAAAAATTTTTTAAATTATCTCTTTACTGGATTTTTGCTCATGCTATGACCCAAAATTTGGAAGACAAAGTGGAAGGATTAACTAGTGAACCGATGTTTGATAAATCACCCATGAATCAATGAACAAATAAAAACTGACTCCAAAGTAATTCATCAAGAAATATAAACAGGAAAAATTAATATGCTAGCTCAATCATATCTAAACATGGTTTCTAATTTAAATTTTTCTTTGATATGTGTCACTTGATAGGTGATATTCATTTGGTCTTTGACAAATAATGGTCTTTGACGAATTTGGTCTTTGACTATTTGAACAGAATTATTATATCAACAAGGATACCAGCTCCAAGAAAAGTTAATTATCAATGTTATTGGAGTGACAAACTGGATTGACTGACTTACTGATTGACTGAATGGACATTAATGTCCATTCAGCTCTGATTCATAGTTATGAAAAACACTATTGTGTATCAGAAACTGCCTCACCCAAACAGGAACATTTGTTTCAACTAGATAGTCATTTCATGTATACAAGACTTCTGGCAATTCTGAGGAAGGTCAGAAGGGGGAAGGAACCTCATCATTCAAGAGACACATTCAGAATCTTTGCAAGCACTTCTTGAATAAGCCTAATTAAACAAACATTTACAAAACAGTACTAGTACACTGATATACAAAAATAAAATAGATAAGATTAGTTCAGGCTGGGATATGAGAAGGCTAAATACAAGAGTAATGTCAGAGGGCTTTAGAAGGGTTAGTATACAGTTGAGAGATATTAAAGTCTTTGAATATGGGGAGAATAATGGGAGATTTCTGTTCTAAGAAGAAAATTGTGGCAGCGCTTCACAGTCTGAGAAGAATCTAATAATGTGAACACGTGAAAATGTTTATGTTGACGTCCCTTCACTATCAAGCTGTTTTGCTTTAAAAAAAAAAGACTTAATGTGGCATATGAACACAATAGAATACTGTAAGTTACAAAAAATTATATCTTGCTATTTGCAATAATATGGATGGAACTTAGATAAACTAAGTAATATAAATAATGGGAAGAGAATTACTATATGATTTTATTTAGTATGGGAAATAAAGAAGCAAAGCAAATGAACAAACAGAACAAAAGTTCTTAAACAGAGAGAAGCTCACTGGTTACAAAAAGGGGAGTTAGAATGAATGAATGAAATGGGTCAAACTGATATAAACTAGATTTTCTGTGGCAACTATATATATGTATATATGTGTATATATATATATATACACAAATGTCAAAATATAGTACTGTATACCTGAAACTTAAATGATGTTACTGACCAATGTTACTTTAATATGAGAATATCTAACTTGCTATGAATAAACATAAATATAACATATAGGGCCATCATTTTTGGTTTAGTTTTCCTTAGTTCAGCTGATTCAATGCCAAGATTATGCCAAAAATTAATCATTCATATTTGTTATTATAATTTTAACAAATCAAGCAAGTCTAACTTTAAAACGCTCTACAATATAAGTTATGGATCAAGTGTTTGCTACATATGACACAGCTAATATTTTTGTAATAATAGCGCCCATTAAAACTAAAACCATATTGATAGGTCATAAAATGCTTGAAATGGGCTTCCCAGGGCTTTAACCGTTTTCTTTGTATGCTGTAATACAGTAGTTGTCCACTAGATGGAGATGATTCTTTTTCTTTTCAAAAAGCCCTTTTTTTTCATTATTTATTTTGGGGGTTTGAGGCCATACTGGGTGGTGCTTAGGGGCTATTCCTGGCTCTGTGTTCAGAAGTGACCCCTGGAGATGCGCAGGGGATATATGTTGCCAGAGATCTGAAACAAGGCTGGACGCGAGGCAAGCACTGACCCTCTGTCCTAACCTCCAGCCCCAGAGATCATTTTTTTTCTTTTTTTCTTTCTTTTAATGCAGGAGTATTGCTACAGAGATCATTTTCTTAAGGAAAATCTATTACAAGTTAAACGTAAAGACCTAAGCCATCTCTTAGAGACATTTGAAAATAAACACAAAAATATTATCCAAAAGAATGAGAACTCACAGATTTTAGGAAAGTCACCAAATTTTATCACCAACTTTTAATAAAATCATGTCACTGAGAGAGTATTAATTTTAACATTACAAACAGATTGAGAATGAAGAGCTGAAAATGGCCACTGAGAATCAGAGAAATAGCATATGGGTTTAAGGCACAGGCTTTTTACGTGGTCAATCATGGTTCAGGCCCTAGCGCAGGGCCTGAGCAGGACCACATATTAAGGGAGCACAGTGCCTGAGCAGCACCGCAGCATCCTAGGGGGGCACGCACGGGGCCTGAGTAGCACAGCATCCTAGGGAAACACAGGGCCTGAGCAACACAGAACACAGGGCCTGGCACTGAACTGCTAACAGAACCCCTAGGCCTCCTGTATATCTCCTGGGAAAAGCTCCAAATAAATAGAAAAAAACCCTGATGTCTTATTAGATTTTGGACAAAAAACAAACATATCCAGAAGCTGTTTTCTTCAAATATTAGGGCTGATGACAGACTCTGGGGAAAGGGTAGGTTTGGGCCAAAAGGCCTTGAAAGGCAGCGCTACCCTTAGATGCTGGTATCAAAAGGAACAGACATGAATTTTCCAGGCGGTACTTGTTTTTTTTTAAAGTTCAACTATCCAAATTTATAACAGTACTCATATTATTATGAAATAGTCTTCCTACTTTATGCTAATGATATTAAATGATGTTACTGTATCATACTCTTCATCAGAATGCCAACATCCCTCCACCACTGTCCCTGGGTCCCTTCTCAGCTCCACTCTGTCTTTGACAGCCTCACTTCTCAGTTCCGTTGGCAGAAATTCAAGGCCAAACACATTCTGTAACAAACACTTTGATATTGTCAATGTTCTCATGACTCACTGCCAACCAGATGGAGACCAACGTAAGATTAGCAGAAGCTTGGGAAAGCAACTCAAGAATTGGGGAGACTAATTTTGTCCAAGTATAATAATGATAGTGATAATAATAATCACAATGATGATAAAACTTCTGGCACAGTTTCCATGTGCCAGACATCATGGTCTCTGTTTTATATTCATTATCTCACTGGATTCTCACAATAATCCTTTGAAACGGGCACTATATTTTCCATTTCGCCAATGCAGAATCTGCAGCAAGAGATGGTTCTAACTTAAGTAATGTGCTCAAGACCAGAGAGTTTGCATTGATGTTTTAAACACAACTGGAAGAACGGCCCCGTATTTATGTCTCTATCTCA